ACACACACACACACACACACACACACACACACTCACACACACACACAAACCCAACAAACAAATCACGGAGTACCTGGAAGAGAGCACAAGTTTCTTGGCTCCTCTCTCCACCAGCCACTGAACCAGCTCCAGGCCAAACCCTCCCAGACCGCCTGTGATCACGTACGACTTGTTGGGGTTGCATGTTGCTCTCGGCACCGCCAGGATAGATACTGCTGGGGGTACAGCCACTTTCTCATTTTCTTCGTTTCTGATCTACATGTTAAAATGAAAAGAAAGTAAAAGTAAACCGTAGCCATCCATTTTGAACTTACTCGACCTAATACGAACATTACTTTCAGCGTGGCCACTTTGGGTCGTCGTGACGTACGTCATAGATGAAAGATGCTCTAAATAATAGGGGGGGGGGGTGTAAAAACTTACTTTTGTGAAAGAAAAGAAAAAAAAAGAAAAGAAAAGAAATAAAAAGAAAAGACCACAGTATGCTGTAATTGTAAATGGATTAAATGTATCATTTCTGATTGTTTCCTCCGTAGGGATGAAGGATTTAATAAATGAGACAGATTCTTTTATTCGCACTAATGGAAAGACAGCAACTAAGACAAACACGCCCAAGTAGATGTGCGATTGATGGTGGGCACGGTCACAAACGTAACAAAGTGTTGTAACAAGATGCCGTTAAAAGAGCGGCTTTGTTTAAGGACAATCATAGGAGGAAATAAGACCTATGCGTCCATATTTATACCTTTGAAGACAATGTATTACTATACACTTTATTTAAGAAAGTTATAACTAAAAGACCTATAATTAAACTCTCGTAATGGTAAGGATGTATTCTGTAATAATTCTAATATATAGCCTTTTCAGTAAATATCAATTTCCCACTGGTATTTACCTATAGTTAGAAAGGTAATGTTTAAAAATAGCATTGTTAACACACAATAAATGACTGATTTTTACTGATTATTTAATTCGAACAGTAGACTAATTGTCTATTCTTGTTCTGCAGAAATGACTTGTTTTGTTTAAAATCAATTCGAAGAGTTATAATGTACTTTATGTTAAAACGTTCAGGTCCAAAGATTTAAAAGAGCTAGAAATTATAACTCATTGAACAACTACTTAGCCGAAGGAGCTTTAATTTGGTTCCCATCTTTACCAAAAAAAGACGAAAAAAAAAAGAAAAAAAAAACCTCACCCTGATGACGACTTTCCCGATATGTCTCCCCTGAGCCATAAACCGGAAGGCCCCTTCCACCTCCATCTTGTCAAACACTGTTGTCTTCAGGGGTCGCACTACCCCGGAGGTCATACCTTCGCCGACCAAACGGACAACCTCAGGCCACTCATCGTTGCTGCTGTCAAACAGCGAGTCCAACAGAATGCCAGATATATTGATGTTCTTTTGTAACACGCGCATACCTAGACATGGAAGAAGACATTGCCTATTACACATATTATTGCTTATTAGAATAGTAAAGCAGATACAGCTTAGGCAGAGTGTTGTTGGAGCGGTTTACTCTCCCGAGACATCCAAGCACTGACTAATTGATATTATCTACATTCATCTTTGTGACTGCAATGTATTGAATTTAGAGAAGATAAAAGAGGGTGGGAGATTTACGGATGGACCGGTAAACATACAATTTTGCTTTAAAAATGTTATTTCAACACCTCAAAAGAAACCGTTCTTGAAATTGCTATTTAGATTTTCAAACTGTAACGCAAAATACCCCTTCTATTTCTGAAGACAGGAGTGCAGGGAGTTTAAAAACAAAAATACACGTACCTGACGCCTCTATAATCCTGATAAGTGTAACTGATAATGCCTTAATAAATGAAACTTTTTTTTCACGTCTTTGTTAACTGATATATATATA